TAGGCAATGTAGAACTGGCAAAATAATGTCACAGAGTATTTCTATTTCTGCTAGACATAAAATATTTGTGTAAAATACTTGAACAAAATTTTTTTTTAGCTCCCAGTTCAGCAGAGGACTTAGATTTCTACTTAGCTTTACTACGTGATCATCCTAGATGTGATTCCATACATTTATACAGGAAATGTCTTATGGCTTGGAGCATGTCTTTTTTCCATCTACTTCCAGTGTTCCTTTTTAATAGAAGGGTTTGTAATAGTTAGAGTATAAATCTCATTTGACCAGAGAATTTTGCCATGAAGACTTTTTTTTTTTTTTTCTGTAGAGAAGGGCTTTTTAGTGGATAAATCAAAAAGTCAAGTGTAATAAGGATTCAGGATCAGTAATAAAATATATTAATCACAGATAAATTTACTTGACCAATATAACTGTATGCAACCTATGAGTAATGTCTCTGAGACAGCCTATATAGGTAGCATTTACACTGTGCATCCCAGGAAGACTTCCCTGCTCCCAATTCCTGTATGTGCTCAAATACTCACTTATTACACATGAAGACATGGTGTGGGTACACAACATCTTCCCCTCATTTCCTCTGGAGGAAAACAGGTCCACAAGGACAAGCAGGGAGATGCAGTGTGCAGTAACAAGCTCTCCTTCTCTGAGCAGCTGAGGAACAAGACTGTAGCGTTCACCATTGAGTACACTTTTCTTCCATTAGGGTACCCCAACTGTTCCCCATTCAAGACCTTCCTTCATTATTCAGCTAATGTAATAAATGTAGGTATCACTACTGAACTTATTTCACAGCATATGGTGACAATCTCTCAACCACAAAAATGGAGCAAATAGTCAAATTTGTGAAAATTAATTTGGACGTTTTTAATAATGTCATACAATTCCTTGATAAATGAAGCAGAAAAGCATAGCTATAAAAGAAGTGTCAGCAAGAGATTTAGGGTAATTTTCCAGTTGTCTGAAGAAAACACTTTGGAGTTGTTCATAGTGTATATTATATGGGCAATGGAGCTCAGATCCATAAAGAAAAAGCTGCAGTGAAGAGACAGATATTTTTGTTGCTTCAGGACATTTTTAACTAACCTTGCCAACAGTGTTGTTAGATAAAAATGACAGCATGAAACTGGATATCTAGACCTCTCCGAAATGCAGTAGATCATCTATAGACACTGTGTTGTGGTTTCTGTTATAGACCTTTGCCTGCAATACTAGAAATGCTTCCCTATGCATAGGGCTCTTAATAAGCTACATAGTATTTTATATGCTTGCTCCATACTACGGTATTAGTTGCTTCTTATGTGTTTAGGGTCTAGTAAGTTATTTAAAGTACATTCCTAATGGTGCTCCCCCTAACTCTAGCCACATCAAATATATAGTCTATGTTAGTTTTCTCCTATAGTCAGAGGATCCAACCAATGCTAAAACTGTCCTGTCACAGTCATAATTTGAAGAAAAAATATGACAGCTAATTTCTTGAAAAATAGCAATTTAAAAAATTGTCTCTTCAGTGTCTGGGATTTCAAAATTTTCTGCACTTACTGAAAAACTTCCTGTGACTCAGAAAGCAATCCTTGTCTTTAACACATCGTACCTTAGCAATACAGTCACAACATGACAAAATCTAATATGGGTATTAGGAGACAAGAAACAATTTTTCAAGCCTGCTCAGAAGTGCTTTCTGTATTAACATTGAAAGTTTTGCATATTAATCTGTTTAAAGTTTAGAACGGTGTGGCGCACCCTCCGGATGGTGCAGTCAGCCAGCATCTTCTCATGGCATGAGGTACCTCAGCATCAGTTCTGGTCTACCCAGCCCCAGGGCAGCCCAGTACTTGGTGGACATTGGAAAATAACCCCTCTTTTTACTTAATTTCCTCCACATTACAGCGAGGAAAATTAATTCCTTTTTAGCCATGCTTGGCAAGGAGTAGGCCCCTTACGTCTACCAGCAGCCTTTGCTAGCCACCCGAAGTTGTTCTTCACCTGGGTCCCTGACATAATGAGGGCAGCCCAAAGGGGTTGAGAAAGGGGACACAGACAAGACTTAGGAACTGATTACTTTTAGGTGAGAGGATACGTAATGGGAAGATATTAGGAAGAAGGGGAAACAAACATGGACATGGCAGACTCTGGGGCAAAAAGAAGGAAAATAGTTCACTCGGGAATTAGTCCATGAGTCATACTTTTTCACTAGTCAAGCAAAGCACTAATCTGTACCTACCCAAGCAAATTGAGGTGAAAAATTTTGTAGGGAGTCCCCTGTTAAAAACTTTGCAAAAACATAACTTTGAAACCATCTGCTCTGACTGCACGCAGTATTATTCCAGACATTTCTATCTTGAAAGAAACGCTCTGAAGCCTTGTGAATGCATTTTTCCTAATGGAAGAGAACACTCTGTTACTTTTCTTTAAGGCTATTTTCAAGATGTTTATGGTATGAGTAAATTTTCTTGTCTTTCACAACAGTCAGAGGCAGCTTTAGTGGTGGCGTCTGGTAGGCAAATACCTCTCTGCTAAGGACAGTGGCATTTCATTAATATACACGAGGTCTGAATTTGGCTCAGGTTAATGTTTCTGACAAGATCCATATATATATATACAAAAAGATGCTTGCTGCCTCTTGTTTCATTCCAAACTAAATAGCATTTCCTACCAGTAGTAATTCCAGTGATTTCTTCAACTATTTGAGAAGTTACCTATTATTCATCCCCAAAAGAACTTAGCTCCTGTAGTTGTAAGTATTATCAAAATAATGTAAAATCCCAAACTAGGTGCATTTGATTAGAATTATTTGGTATAAATTAAAAATTTTATTATTTAATAAGATAAAGTAGTTTGTACATAGCTTTATTAAGTCTTCACTAATGGTTTAATCCAGTATATGTATATGTGCATGTGTGTGTAACTGTATTGGGTTTGCATGGCAAGGTTTTGGTATCGGGGGGGGGCTACAGGAGCAGCTTCTGTGAGAACCTGCTAGAAGCTTCCCCATGTCTGACAGAGCCAATGCCAGCCGGCTCCAAGATGAACCCACCACTGGCCAAGGCGGAGCCCATCAGCAACAGGGGTAGTGCATCTGGGATAAAAGTTTTAAGAACGGGAAAAAAACCCTCTGCAACTGCAGCCAGGAGAGAGGAGTGAGAATATGTGAGAGAAACAGCCCTGCAGACCCCCAGGTCAGTGCAGAAGGAGGGTGAGGAGATGCTCCAGGCACCGGAGCAGAGATTCCCCTGCAGCCCGTGAGGAAGACCACGGTGAGGCAGGCTGTCCCCCTGCAGCCCAGGGAGGTCCACGGTGGAGCAGATCTCCACCTGCAGCCTGGGGAAAGAGGACCCCACGCCGGAGCAGGGGGATGCCTGAAGGAGGCTGTGACCCCGTGGGAAGCCGGTGCTGGAGCAGGTTTTCTGGCAGGACCTGTGGACCCTGTGGGGGACCCACGCTGGAGCAGGCTGTGCCTGAAGGACTGCAGCTCGTGGGAGGGACCCACACTGGAGCAGTTCGTGAAAACTGTAGCCCATGGGAAGGACCCACATTAGAGAAGTTTGTGGAGGACTGTCTCCCATGGGAGGGACCCCATGGTGGAGCAGGGGAAGAGTGAGGAGTCCTGCCCCTGAGGAGGAAGGAGCAGCAGAGACAAGGTGTGATGAACTGACCATAACCCCCATTCCCAGTCCCCCTGTGCCACTGTGGGGGAGGAGGGAGAGAAAATCAGGAGTGGAGTTGAGCCGGGAAGGAGGGAGGAGTGAGGGGAAGGTGTTTTAAGATTTGGGTTTACTTCTCATTACCGTACTCTGATTTGATTGGCAATAAATTAAATTACTTTTTCCAAGTCGAGTCTGTTTTGCCCATGATGGTAATCGGTGAGTGATTTCCCTGCCCATATCTCGACCCACGAGCCTTTCGTTATATTTTCTCTCCCATCCAGCTGAGGAGGGGAGTGATAGAGCAGCCTGGTGGGCACCTGGCATCTAGCCAAGGTCCACCCACCACAGTAACATAAGGAAAATGCTGCTTCTCTTCCTTTTTTTTTTTTTTTTAAAAAAAATGCAACAACTCTGGCTCTCTCTGATCCATATGTTGCTTCTATTCTATATTTCTTATGTCAGGTCTAGCATGCTGCTACTCTATGTCCCCTTTATAAAAGAAAGCATTAGGGAAAATAGGAACTAGTGATCAAATAGAAATATGACATAGAACACTGGAGTAGACTTAAAGTTTCTTTGAAAAGCTATTTGAAAAATATTAAATATTTACTGGGTTTGGGGATTTTGGGTGAAATTTAGTTTTAAGGAACATACTTTAAAAACTGAAATCCCATCATGAAGAACAGACAGACCATAAAATATTGTACAGGATAGGACTATAGCCTGACAAGGATTAGTGAAACACCAGGGAATGCTAGTGCCTAGTTCTCATTGTGCAAGCATTATGTAGTGTTTCTGTAAGAGTTTTGTCAATATAAAAGCATGTAAGCCTGATTTTTAGAGAATTAGCAGGGAACATACTGAGTATCATTCATTCATGGCTGTGGAATTCAGTTTCACTGTTTACAGAGCTCAGTCATGCTTTTCATTTTCATAGTGACTTCCACCTGTGTTCTGTGAATTCTCCACAAATGTTGCTGGTTGACTAATGGAGGTATTTGTGAACTTGTTTTTCAGTTTGAAATCAGCTTTTGAGGCACATGTGTTTCACAGTCTGTTGGCTCCTTGTGTACTCAACCGACAGGGAAGTCAAGCTTTATTGTGAAAAGTGAATTTTGATGGCTTTGTACTATACTCCTTGCATTGAAGGAAGGGCAGGCTGACCCAGCCCTGTCTTATTGGTATTATCAGTATGAGTCAGCTTGCCCAGGCTGTGGATTTTTTTTTGTTTTTTTTAATCTCTATCCAAAAGTTATTCATCATAACATACATGGCATGGAAATAACTTTACAGAGGTAACAAGGAACTAATCGTCTTCCTTTCTTCTTCTCTCTGTAGTTTGTTGCTCAGCCCAACTGCCAGCAGCTGCTCGCATCCCGCTGGTACGACGAGTTCCCCGGATGGAGGAGGCGACACTGGGCTGTGAAGATGCTGACATGTGTTGTGATAGGACTCCTTTTCCCGGTCTTCTCTGTGTGCTACCTGATAGCTCCCAAAAGCCCATTAGGGCTGTTCATCAGAAAGCCATTTATCAAATTTATCTGCCATACTGCATCCTACTTGACTTTTCTGTTCCTGCTGTTGCTTGCCTCTCAGCACATTGACAGGTCAGACTTGAGCATGCAGGGACCACCACCAACCATCGTCGAGTGGATGATATTACCGTGGGTCCTGGGTAAATGTACTACTAAAGAAAATACAGTGAAAAGTGTTTAGACCCCTGTGGTTTTGCCAAGCATTCCTGAGGCAGGAAATACAGTAGAGAGTTCTGCCATGAATTATTGGCCTACCAACACAAGCAAATGGTCCATCTCCTCCAATACCTAGCAAGAGTAGTAGACAACTTGGGAAGAGTTTAAAAATCCAATGTGTCACCACCTGATATAGTACAGTGAGGGAAAACAAAAGATATCGAGGGTTCCTTCCTGTGATTAAGCAGTGCACTGAAACATACATATTGATATTCTTTTTAATATTTATTTTCCTCAGGCCAGACATTATTCTGATTCTTCTAAGTGTCCTTTTTTTTTCTTTGTTCGTCTACTTTTAAAAAAGGGTCCCTTTGCCACGGTGATTATTTTTCATGTATTAGAATGAGGCACAGTGTCATTTCTGGAGTGTTATCATGAACCTTAGTTACCTAAAGTATGCTTCTCTCTAATATAACAGACTGACCTATTGCAAATAGTGCTGACCAGCTTTTTCAAGTGAGTATTTTCATTAAAATATACATGCAGAGTATTTTTGCTGTGCAAAACCATTGATGAGAACTTGTCACTCAACTTCAAGCAAAATATTTTACATCAGAAGGAATAAGAAAATCCCCTAGCATTTTTAAAATGAGGAAAAAAATCACTACTCTGTCTTGATAGTTTAAAATAAAAATTTTGGTCTGGGATTATTGAAATCCAACTTGGTGTGGGCCATGTTGGCCTTAAATGTCTTCCTGTGTGATTACTCAATCCTATTGAATTGGACTGTCCTAGGTCCTCCCTGCCTTTGCGTGTCTGCTCTGCTAGATGGTATCTCTCTTGGTGTGCTGTGATCTCTTACCTGTTTCTTATTTTAGGAACGAGCACAAGTTGGACCAGGTCAGTCCAAATACACTTTATCTTGACTGAAATGAAATTGTAGAAGGAGGGACTTAGTAGCCTTAACTGCAAGAATTTAAGTTTGATATCTTCATTTGAACTGTCATCACATAGACAAGTTCATGCACAAACTTTTGTGAAATATTTTGGTGGGGTTTTGATACTGTTAGCTCTCCCAGAGCTTCCCATTAAGAGATGCCGTTTCTCTTCACTTTTGCAACTTTTCCCAGACACCTGGCTTTTTTTAGAGCAACCAAATTGACAAGGTTTTTGGCATCATTGATCATACATAATTTACAGTGCAGTGTTTAATTTATAATACACTAATTGGCAGTGCCTGATATTCCAGAGAAGAACAAGTCAGTGGCTTTTCCTCTTTATGTTCCTTGGTAGAGCACTGTGGGAAGCAGGAGGCAGGGCTACATCTGTCTTTCACTTAAGAAAACAAGCATGCATGACTGAAAACTCTGCGTACACTTACTTGTTGGGAACCTCTCAGAAGGAACTGCCCTCCATAGATGAGCTGCTTTTTGAGATTTCCCCCATGATAGCACAGCATAAAACAGTCCTCATCACCAGCCTTCACTGTAAGGTGTGTTGTCCTTTGCTGGGTAAATGTTGCTACTAACATTAAAAAAGCCAATATCTAGTATTATTGCAAAGCAATTAATCAATCTGGCAGGCTGCTTAGAATAGAATGACATTTTCTACAGACAAGTCAGACTAACTTCAGTGTGTAAGTTTCACATTTAAATATTAAAAAAAAAATTTCCTCCAGTAAATTTTCCCAGTTTTGTACCATCAAGAAATAAGAAACCAATATAAAAATAATTAGGTTGATACATTACTTCCTTAGGAATAAATGCTACAATGCTGAGGAGGGGCAAGGGCCTCATCTGTGCTGTCCCATGCCCAGAGGAGATATTAGTAGCTTTTCTGTCCGGCCTTCCAAAATAGCAGGTGGTCAGTATCTATCCAGCTTTCACAGTATCTTGAGGCTGAAGGATAATAAACACAAATGCATAGCTGACATATAGACCTTGACATGCCAAAGTGGGTTTTACCATTAACCTATCATTTTAAAGAAAGAAATTAGAGCCCAGAGAAAAGGCACAATTTGAGAAGGGCAAGGGGTAGTTTCAGCTAAAGGCAGTTCTAAAATTTTGGTGACCAACTCCTCTCTAGAAAACATGCAGTGGGAAGAGGAAGAACCTCCGTTGCCCTCAACCTCTGACACTGTTGTTTACTTAGGAAAGGGTTTAATCCCAAAGCACTTGTTTGAAGAAGCCATTAACCCTGAGAATTATGACTATCAAGATGACTATCATTTCTAAAAGCAGCATTAATACTTGCAGTATAGACTCATATGGCCAGATTATGCCAGTACTGCCTGTGCTGAATAAGCCCTTCCTCTGCAAGCAGTACGGGTCAAGGCAAGGGAACTGCTTGCACAAACAGATATTCATGAGCATGGCTAAAGATCAATAGTCAGATGCCATGTGGTCAAATAGCTTGTGGTTAATCTAGACTGTAATGTTCAGAGAAACTGTGCCTTCCAGAATCTCTTGCATCTAAACTGATGTATTTTACACACTGATCTCTAGGGGTTTCTAACTAGTGGTTTCCTGTAGTTCCAGTTTCACATCTGCTGGGTTCAGGTTTCAGACTTTGGTTGTTGCAGTGCCATAGCCCACCCAAACAATAAGGCCCCAGACTAACCCACCGTAATCGCAGGCAATTAATTAGGTCCCTGAACTCCCCCTGTCATTGAAAGAGACAGACACACATCTCCACAGGACACTTTGGCTCACAGCACATGATCAACATGTCTACAGCTTTGTTTGTTTGTTTGTTTGTTTTAAAGGAATGAATCTCAGCCAAAACCTGCTGTTTTCATATTCACATACATACAAACTGTGGTCTAGGCATCTTTTAATAAAACAAATAGTTTTATTAAGTCCTTATTAATAAGCTAAGGTTAGTTCCAGGCCACAGTTTAGTCTGTCAGCTCATCTCTTCAAACTATACAGTTATGCAGTATCCTTAAAAAGGGTAAATGCAGCACTCTTGAGTTACACAAGGGAGCCTAAATCTAAGGTACATAGGTATATCTTTGCATTTTTTGGATGTAAACAAAAAGTGTTGACGTCTGACACAAAACTAATGTGGCTCTAGGGTTATAGTTTTTCTCTGAAATTGGAAGCGTGACCAAGTAAACCCTTCTCCCAAAGCAAAGGCTGTCCTTGCAGCTACAGCATGTCAGAACTGTTAATATTTTAAACAACAGAATTCTTTGTTTGTCTTTTGCTTAATTCAAATAGGTCTGCGTGTAGTTTACATTTTAATAGCTACCTCCCTTAAAATTAAGAGAGTAAGAGGATCTCTACTTTCTAAGCTTCTCATTGACATGAATATCAGCATACATATATTTCATAGAACTTAACAAGTTTCAACATTGTCCATAACAATCTAAGCTCTCCAACGATCAAACAGTAATTAGCATTTGCCTACTACAATGTAATAGAAGGCTGAATGTGCATAATTAGGACATATTAAAGGTGTCACTAGAGTGGGAGGCTCAGAGGAAAAACCTGTATTGGACTACATTTCCATGGAGACTATCAATTTTACATTTTAAAAGCCTCTTAAGGAAACTTCTACATTAATTTTGTCTTTTACATGATTAGATGATTACACAAGTGCTGTTACAGTATGTGGTGATTATCTGTGGAACAATAAGTCAGTATAACAAGGCTAATGTTCTAGCTTTAAGAAGCAGTTGTGGAAAAACCTCGTGGTAAGAGGAGTCAGAATCTCCTGTCCTTGCATTTAAACAAATAAGAAACAAGCTTTTGCTGGTAAGGAAAATTAATTTTGTTCTTCTTATTAGCTGTTGATTCAGATCTCCCAAGCATGCCAGATGCTTCACACTACAGAAACATAGGCCTGTTTTCTATACTTGAGAATCCATCATCACTGAAAAAAGGACAGGAAAAACAAAAACCCAATCTTGTGAAAAAAAGTGAGGAAGAACAATACTTTCCATCATCAAATTCCCCGTCCTATCGCTGAGTGGCCTCTGAACATGATAACAGTGATTCAAAGGGGAAATCAAATAAGACCCAGCCTCACCCTCTGTGTGCCTTGACTGCAGCTCCTGTAAGGATCATATTGATCCCTATAGACTTGTCATACCTGTTCTTCCCTACACCCTAGCCTCAAACCTAGCAGTGACCATGCCAAATGTCCTCACAGTGGGCATTTGGCTCACTAGGGAATGCTACAAAATTCAGAGGAGAAAGCCAACAGCCAGACAAACTTGGTGCTTAGTAGATACAGTTAAAAAGCTCCCTGCCAGTTGTTCTGGGTGGCTGCAGCAAAAAGAACATTTTTTAGGCAAATTTGTTTTGATGAGTTTTTTGCTCTTTTATGGGCATCTTTAAATGTTCATCATAATTGCGTTGTTCAGAATACTGCCTGGAGCAGGAATGCAGCCTTACTGGATTTAACAATGCATTCTCCATCCTTTCTGTCAGAGTGGTTTATGCTATTGGAGTACGTGAATCTATAGAGAATGTGGATGTTTGGGAACTGCAAACTGTAGACATTTGTGGTCAGCAAACTGCTGGTGGGATGTATGGGAGTGTACAGTCTTGTCAGTACTTAGCGCAATGTACATCCAAACCAATGGCACAGCAAGACACTTCAAATGAAGAGACCATAGAGGTGGCAAGTATACTGTGCATCATCTCCTAAATTTGGTCAAGAAAGTGTTGTGTAAAAAATAAAACAGTTAGTACAAAATCACATGTTCCAGGGAGCAGATATAAAGGATAATGTGGCCAGCAAGATGAAACGGTACATAACCAGTAGTGACAAATAAAGTGCAGAAGAGGAAAATAATCCCAGACAAAGCTGGAACACAACTTCAGTCAGAAAGAAGGATAACGCACATAATGAGCACTCAAGGCCATTTAGTCCAAACTACTGCTAGCCACAGGCTAACTGCAAAGATAGGCCAGATTGCTCAGGTTCTTATCCAGTCAAAGCTTGGATTTCTCCAGGGACAGATATTCCACTGCCT